CCCCGCGCTGCTTCCTCGCCCGCCGGGCGCCTGCAGGAGGCCTCTGCCGTTACCGCCCGCAAAATACCCCGTTCTGCCCTTTTTTTTCTGCAGAAAAAGCGAATGGCTAGTTTGTAGCAATAGTCTCTGGTCAGTTCCGTAACTTTTATACCTGATATTTAGAATGCTAGAGCAGTTATTAGAGCCAGTATGTGTTTTACACTGCTCTTTCACGAATGAGGAAAGCAGCCTAAAATGGAAGCTCTCTTTACTAAATTGTGGTTTTTTTCTTCGTTAGGTTAGCAGTGTGTTTGATTTATGTGTATTTCTAGAGGTATATTACGGAACTGAACGGTGCTTTGAATTTTACAGGGAATAACAGAAATAACCTGCGTTAAGGTAAAGACATAGAAGTGTAAAGGAAGAAGTCCGCAACCAGTGTTTTTGCTGTAGAAAAATACACACGCATCATAACTAGTATATCCAGACTGAACAAGTTACCTTTCCCAAGTAATTTAAAAATTATTAATAGTACCTGGCGAAGTAAATGAAAGAGACAATTATATATTAAACTGATAAACTTTGTATATGATTTTTTAATTTTACTGCAGCTATGCTGTGAAATATTTTTAATAAGGTTTTTTTGTATTACAATCTTACATTTCCCCGATTTTGTATATTTTGCAAACTCAGGATTTTTTTTCAGGGTACTTAACCCATTTGTTTTATATTAAAGCCAGAGAATACATGTCTGCTTAAAAACAGAAAGATAAAATAGCATATTATGTTTATAAGTAACACAAACTTGTAAAAAATACTCGTAATAGCTGGCTACTTGTTTTTACAGTGAGGTTTTTGTTTAGGTGGGTATTTTCCTATCATAGTATTGTATATGAGATGTACATTCTTGCCCTGAGAAGTGTTTCTCTGTAGAAAAAAAAAAGGTTGAGTATTAGGATGATTTTAGTTCTTCTTGCTGAGAACAGTTCTGTATATTTGCCTCTCAGTTCCACGAATTTGCCAAGGCTTGTGGTAAAGTCCTATGAAGCTTTGAATATTTATGCTAACTCCCAGAGCTCCTATCCAATCTGATTTAATGACTGAATAAATAATGCTGATTTTCATTTTTTTTCAGTGCAAGTTTTTGTTGTGTAATATGTGTTATGTTACATCTAGCATCTCGTTTGTTTCTCCGGTTTGTGATGGCTGGATTGTATGTGGGTAAACTGATTTTAGAACTAGACATCAAACTTCTTTAGACTCTTTTTAGCAAGCCCCCTCCCCCCATCACTGTGGTGTTGTTTCTAGCTGCTTAATAATTTTTTAACCAAGTTACAGGTGTATTTCTGTGCACGGGAGTTGCCAGTACTTGTAAAAACACAGTATGTTGCATCCTGTTATGAAGCAATACAAAATTTGCATTTATTGGGAACTTGGTTGTGAATGTGTGCCAGAAAGATTTATTCAACGTGCACGTGGTTGCTCCCAAAGCTTGTAAACCACATGAACAGGAGAAAACAAGTTCCAGTGTGCTGTATAAAAATAATCAAACTGATTGTCTATTAGATCAAGAGATTTTTATACAAATATTGGTACTTGACAGTTGCTGCTCCACATTGTGGTTTAGGTTCTTTACAAGTTAGCACTTCATTTGAGTCATGTCATACGCCAGATGCTAAAAAATGGAGCTTTCTTAAGTGTGTTAGATTTCCACTGAAGTCCTTTTTAGCTACATTGGTTTTCTGGGAATTCAAAGACTATTTAGGAAATTTGAGAAGACAAAGAAGATGGCGGAAACATAGAGAAGACTAAAGAATGCTTTGTTGTAAAGAGAGATTTAAATGCCCTTTGGGGCATAATAATTGCATGTAGCAGCAGCATCTGAAAACAAAAGGAGAATGCAAAATAAAATATTTTTAATTTTATATCATGCAACATGTCTGCTGAGATTGCATAAGTACAGAGATATAAAGGGATAGTTCATTTAATTGGAGGCTGCTCGTCAATAGCACTTTAGCTGTGTTTTCAGTTGTCTACATAAGGTAAATCTTATATCCTAGTCAAATTGTGCAACATACACACTGAGACCGAAAAAATTAATAAAACTCAACATTCCGAGTACGTGAACAGTATGCTCCTTAAAATAGTGTGTAAATTAGTATGCTTTAGTATCTTTCAAATGCAGGTTATTGAAAGGTTTGTAATAATGCCTGAGGGAAACCAGGCTCTGATTTCACATTGATATTTATGAGTCTAGAATTGTTCGTTCATCCTGGGTGATATTTAACTACTACAGCTATGTGGGTTGATCTGACAAACCACCAAGAATAATATTGTGGCTGTTAACAGCGGCCGTAAAATCATTAATTATTTCAGGTACCTTTGTGGAGATTCATGCTGCTGATTGATGTAAAGGAGCTAGGACTTTACTGCTGGTAGTTCTGTCTGTCTTGAGTCTCATTATTGTGGGAGATAACATGCAAGTTTGAGGTAAACTGTAAGCATAACACATAACTGGGTTTTTTCCCTTCGTTCCTGCTGCATCAATTGCTTAACAATTTGTCCTTGTTAATTTGGTGGCATTAGCCAAGTGTGGGAAGATCTAAGTGGCAACAGCTTAGCTAAGAATGAGTGACATGTTTTCTTAGTGAGAATAATACTAGGTGTAGTAAAGGTTGGTTTAAAAATGTTAATTATAGATAACCTTGATTAATAAATAAGCTTGAAAGTGTTACAATAGGACGTGTAGAACACGAATCTCAACCAGCTTACTGGCTATAAGTAAATTGCATTTTTTGTCATTTAAAGGAAATCCGGCATAAATCCAGTGACTACCCTCATAGAGTTGCAAAATATCCAGAAAACAGAAATCGAAACAGATACAGAGATGTTAGTCCATGTAAGTATCGTTTCTGTAATTACTGCAGTAAACTTTCTAGACTTTTTACTTAATTTATTTCTAAATACTGTAGCTTATAAATCACAGTCATTGTATGTCTTGTATTTCGTTTATTTCTGTAGGCATGTATCCTATGATAAATGTGTTTTTCTTAATGTACGCAAATGTGTATAACAGAAGGGAAAAAAGTTTGCAGGCTAAACTCATTGTGCTGGATGGTGAATGAGAGATGATTGCAAATCATAGTTATTAGTATGTAGGTAGATGTTTGTGAATGGCGAAGTAATATTTTAGGTGTATTTTCTCATAAGGAAGTTATTTTGGTATTGCTTTATCTGTCATTTTTTTAAAAATCGGCATCTCCTGAACACAGAATTTAAGTAAATAAGCCTTGACTAAGACGGACAGTTTCCTTTTGGGGTAAGTGATTCTGCACATTTATAAGATTTTCTGGATAAATGCCGCTTGATTTCTTTTAAAAATACTTGAGATGTTGTTCTTTTTGTCTGTTTGAAGAATGTGTGCATGAAATTGTTCTTTAATTTTCTCAGTGCAAGTGGATATGGTATGGAGTGCTTTGTGTTTTATAACCTGCCATAAAACAGTCTTTCTGACATTATGATCTTACAACTCAGGTGAAGACAGTTTTGTGGTGTGTTGGTTTTTTTTTATCAGCAGCCTTGCTGCTGAGATGTTGTGGAGTTTTTTTAACAGCATTTACTTTAGAAACTGTAATCCAAAATCGGAAAACTATAATAAATAACTTTCAAAAAGACTAGGAAAAAGAAACTTAGGACCACCTTCATTTTTCTATGAAATTTTGAAGTCAGAACAGGTTAAGTGCTTTTTTTGTTCTTTAGTACTAAGTTTCCCAGAGCACCAAAAGCTCATAAAAACCTTCTTGTTACTGATCAGGAATTTTTGGAAGGTTGCTGGTGTATTGGGGCTTTTCATTTGAGAGCCTGATCTGAATATCTATTGTAAGATTTGGAGAAGTGCTGAACTCCTTGTTTCCAGTTGAAAGCTGAGGTAACAGCATATGTGTAGCACTTCTCAAAATTACATGGAGAGGGTCTCGGGTTGAGTCAGGCTGGTCCGATGCAATGCTGTGTGCTGCTCACTAGGCTGCTGCCAGAATACAGACTTGTGCAGGGTGTTCGCACCACGTGGATTCAGTCTGGCTTAATTCTGAATCTCATCCTGCACTCTGATGAAACTGAACTTAAGAGTTCAGCCTCTCTGCTGTGTCTGCATGGCATTACCAAGTATGGCCTGTTTGAGGCATGTACAGCTGTGAAGAAGATACGTCAAGTCTTACTTAACTTCCACTGTACACTCAGCAAAGGGAGGTGGGCCTCTCCTGGACCTTTGTTGATCTGTGCAGAGCTACTGAATGTCTCAAGTTTGCTGTCCTGTTACAGCGCATTGTCAGTGTCTTACCAATGGTGAAGTAGATCATGTTTTATTCACTTGCTGTTTCATGCCTAAATTTGGGATAAGGGGATTGTAAGAAGAGAAGGTTGGAAATTAGATTGGAACCCATGAGACCCAAGTTATGTTCCTGGGTCCAGTATCCTACACAGCTTCTGTGGCAGAAGGTGTATTCATGTGTTTACCATTTATCCTATCCATGGATTTAATTTCTTCGGCACTACTGCAAAGGAAACAGCAGCCTGCCTTCAATGTATTTGTGGTTTTTCTTTATTTTAAAAAAGTGTTTCTAAAAATAAAAATACCATTGTGTTATTCAAGTAGCATCTAATAATGCCTGCGATTAATACCTTAGAGGTGTGTGTTGTATTCATCTCCTGTAGTTCTTTAGAGCTCAGAATTTTCCTTAATCATGGCATGTGTTTTGCGACAGTGAAGAGCACCAAACACCCCTGTCATGATAATGGCAAAGCCTGCTTCTGAAATGTTGGTTTAGCCAGGAGGAGAATAATTATGTGATTGTATTAATCCCTAGACCCTGTGCAAGAGCAGATACAGTCAGATAAAATCTAGTCTTGAAGTAGTAGTTGGGCTCAGGAAAGAGTCATTACATGATAGTTGGCATGAAAGTGTAACATGATGACTGAACTAAGATGGTGAACTTTGATGCACATCTCAGATTTTTGCATTTATGAAAAAAAATAAATATTTTAATTGGACCACCAAGATTGCCTGCAGAGCTGGGCACTAGAAAATAGACTGTACGAGGTGAACAGAGAAAAACACTGTTTGAACTAATTCCTGTTGAATATTCTATGTGTGTGTTTTTAAATGTAACTCGATTGTTTCTGTAGCAATGGTGAAAGTTGAGAGGAGAAAGAGACCTGAAAGGGAATGTATAGTAAATAACATTCCAAGACAGCAGTACCTAAATTTCAAAGCAGCTGGGGTAAAAGCTGTGTGGTTTGGTCACTGCAGGGAACGCATTTAATCACGGTACATTTCTGCAAGGAACTGGCTTTGCAGAAGTGCAGGACAACTCAGTCTTACACAATCTTAATGCCTTGGTCCTTCACTTTGCAAATTTTACTGGTGTTTAACAGCATTTAAATGAAAAAGGGTGATAATACTAATTTTCTGATAGCCAGAGGCATTCAGAACAAGCAGTTAAACTTTTAAGATCTAGCCACTTAAGGATACTGTAAGACATAATTTGATGAAAATGCTTTATGTCTCCGTAGCAGAGCGAAAATTATTTATTAATCTAGATAGTGGCCAAACTAGTCTAAAATCTGATGTGGTATCTCTGCAAGAGGAAATGCAAAGATTATTCTGTTTTATGGAAAAAGTGTCAATTACAAGTGCAGGAAAAAATGCTTTGGGTTAGTTTGCCTCATTTCAGCCTAGGCATGCTGAAACCAATTTGTGTCCCTTATGTAGGTTTCTAGGTAAAAGTCGTTTTCTGTTAGTTGGGAAAAATGAATAATGTTTGCCCATTACAGCTGAGTTTCACATTGTCTCCAGTTTCATAAATATTTTTGTTAGTGTCCAGTTTTGTTGGATAAAGACCTATGGTATGTATAAATTTGGCTGGGTAAAAACCATCAAGACTTATTGCTTGGCCAAAATAAATAGCAGTCTAGCAGTTTGGTATTAGTCTGGAATAGGGAGATGAATATTTTGGCTATGTAGCAGTATTGAAACAGGAAGTTAATCTGAAATAGGTTTGGTTTGACAGCCAGTCATTTCCTGACAGATGAAACAATTTCTCAGAAAACAATGTTAAGAGGAAAATAACTTGTGAGCTTATTATTCTTTATTGATAAGTTTAATGAAACTAAGATTTCTGTTACTACTTTCTTTCTAAATCTTCTCCTTAGTCGATAGTCCAGTGTCTGAGATTGCCTGTAAACACTTTGAGAGATCTACTTACTGTGTTCTCAGATTTAGAGACAACAAGGAAATGCCCTCTGCAAAGTTGGCAGGATTTTTTAAATTATTTTTTTTTGCTTTTGGAGGGCTGATAGAAAGTTTTGTGTGTTTTTATCTTTAGCCTCCCTTTGTAATATGGTGTATAGCCCCGTTTCTTAGGTAATATGAACATTTTCTCCTGATGGATCATGTTGCTGTGAGAGGTTTTTCAGAGGTAGTGACTTCTTCGGTTTCTTTCCTGAGGCCATGAGCAGACTTTGTGCTGGACCTTTCAACCAGTTGTCATGGAGTATATACATAGAGTGTATGTGTGAAGAGTTTCGTGTTTTACAGGGATCAGAGTTAGAGCTGGTGTGGATGATTTTGCACTCAGTGATGATTAATTATAATTGCAAAAATATTCCCTTTCTGACTTGTGTTTCAAGTATATGTGCTGAGAACAGAGAGATGCTTTGTCCAAAATAAGCCTGCTGCACTTCTTGTCCATATTAGAAGCTGACATTGATGATTTTTATTGTCATCTAATGATTCTCTAAAACATTTTTTTACCAGAAACATGTTATGAATGTTTCATATAATATGGAATGTGCTGCTTTTGGAGGTACTTCTTTCTTTGGGGTTGGGGAAGAGGGGAATTGTATAGCACATAGTGATCTAAACTTTATTGTACTTTAAGTTTTTTCCATAGTCCTGCTTAAAAGTGTGGAGATTTTGTGCAGTAGTTATGCCTATATTTCACTATGAATATGTTATGAGCTAGAGACTGCTATGATGGCATTCATTACATAGACCAGTAACAGAGTAGGAGAAAGTCACTTGACCTTTCTTTTGCTTTAGGCTAACTATGAAACCTGAGACTTTAAGTTTAGTGGCAGAATATTGTAATTTGAATAATTTAGCAGCTCAGATAGACTAGAGTTAGATTAGTGGAATGAAGAGGATTTGTTGGTAGGCGGGGAAGGGTCAAACTGGGTCATTGGAATGGCTTATGGCTACATGTTTTATGTATTACTTTATTTAATGCACTAAGTAGTATTTCACCCTTGTTGTTAATAGCTCTATATTTGGGGATCCAGAGATATCTCTTGGGTTAAAGATAATTTTTAAAGTTGTATAGTAGCTTCACTTCTAGAAACTCAGTTGTTTTCAAAGAAAAAACTTCATTAACCAACTGCAAGAGCTGTGTGATGTGAAATGCCCAAAAATTCATATCTCACTTTTAACTGGATGTGTCATTTTCTTTTTAGCATGGGGTGAGCAGATTGTTTTGTAATGTGAAGTCTCAGCTTTATTTGAGTCATGGGGAGTGTTGTCAGTGATATCAGTGGGACAGGGGACAGGTTTTTACTTGAAGTGGGTAATAAAGAGTTTCTTATCTCTGACAACGTGGTTTTGGGAGTAGTTCTCTTAGTGCAGCAGGCAGACTGAGAAATATTTTTAAGATTTCCACTTCCTTTTCATGTGGCATAGTTTGTCGAAATGGGGGAATTAGCACTTCAGAAAATCAGTACTGTATTTTAGCTGTTGTGGGTATGGCAACATTTAAGATAAGGAAGATAAAATAAGATTTAAGATAGGTTTATCATTCACATAAATCTAAAGTACTTTGTAACTGGAAATGGCTTACATATGGGAAATGTGTTGCAGCTAACTTGCTGTCTAAAGTTGGCTTGCTTAATTTAATTCGGAAGAGCAAGCCAGGGCTTGAATGAGGTTTCTGGGTCGTTATGTTCTTTAGGAAACTTTTTCCTTGAAGAAGAGAAATCAATATACTCTGGTGGCTTGCTTTGTTCTGTGGAAAGCATGCCAGTGTATTTACAGAATGGCCTCTGTTTTAGCTGGAGAGAGGGAGGGAGGCTGTGTATATAATTAAGGACTTGTTAAAAAAACCTTTCAAAATTTTATTTGTCATAATTACAAAGGAGACTTTATAAGAAGGAGAAAATAAGGCTAAATATGTGTATACGGATTACAGTAGGAAACCTCATTAGGGCCTCGGCAGTTATCTCCTACTGGCAGCAGTACAGCAGCTGCTGCTGGGTGATTAAACTGTTAACAGGGCTTGCTTACGTCATCTTTCCGAGAACACTAGTACCGGTATGTGTGATTTACTATAACAAGATCTTAAGTTTTTTCCTGTTGGCAAATGACATGTAATATTTACAAAGGTCTTTGGTTTCTCTCCAGTAGAAACATTTCAGATCAAGTGATACATGAAAGAAAGAAGTAACACTTTCCTATCCAGACAAAATAATACAAAGAGTTATATTTTACTTTTAAACACGTGTCTTAATTTTACTGTGTCTTGGCTTTTACAATATTTTTTCTTCATAAAGGTATATAATAAATTGTTTCAAAACTCCTGAAAGTCAAGATGCTGTTGCCTTACAGCCAGAATGCTAATGAAAACAGACTACACCAGTAACTTTCTCATAATTTTGTATTAAAAATAGGTTTTCAGCATTTTTTTTTTCCTCTGCATGTCTGTATGTGACTGCGTATAAAAACTAGCAGCTAAAGGAGGTAGGATGGCAATGCCAAATCTCAGTCCAAAAAAAAAAAGTAAATTTACTGTTTTCTTTCCTTGAGTCCAACAAGATCCTCTGATGGTTGCCAACAGCAGATAGATAAGATACAGTGTAAAAGTAGATCAAGACCCAGTAAATGTACTTTTCCCAGGCTTCCAAACATATGGGAAGTATTTATAAAATTGTATGAGCAGTCCATAGAACAAGAATCTGATTCAGTAACTATTTTTTTATTCCCATCAGAATTTTGCCTCTCTGGGGTTGTATTCATGGATTTCTTAGATAAGCCTTGTGCTGTGTAGGGTCGCTGTGATAGAGGGACTTAATCTGAGCTCAGCTATCCTAGCTGCTCTGAATGTGATACTTGGTAGTTGCTTGTGTCAGAGCTGGTGGATTTCGTGCATTTCCCAAGATGTTTGTCACAGGGAAGGTGGCATTTTGGTGTGGGGATAGGAGAGATAAAAATGGGCTGCCATTTCAATAGCAGCTGTGCCATCAGTCTGCACCCTAAATGAGTTTTGTGGGTTAGACCAGGTGAATGTAGGTTAAAAATTGGCATTGCACCGTAATTCACTCTCAGATCTGTCAGTTTCTTTACGGAGTCTCTTGTATCTTTTTCTGAAGTGTGTTGAAGTCTCTTAATTTGCTAATTTTTATTTACTCTTTTCATAAACAGTTTGTCTAGGCAGTTGAGCTTCAGGGGGTTTGCAGTCATTCCTGGCATGCAATTGTGTACAAACAAAAAACGTTGTTTATTTAATACAGTTCTAATAAATAGTTGAAGAATTACTAGAAACAAGTCTGGTTGCCTAAATGTCTCCTAGACAGTAATAAATCAGATACTAAGAGGTTCTAGGAACAGTGATTTTTTTTAATTTTTTTTTTTAAATTATGCAGTGTTTCAGTATGACAGTCTGATAGTATTTCTCATATTAATGTTACAATTTTAAACAGTCCTTTGCTTATTTCTGCTGTAAATACGAGAATCTTCTGTCTTGTCTGGGGAATCATGAGACATTAAAACTGTAGTTATATTAGGCTCCATTTAGTTTGAAGATTTGTTAAATAGCTACATTTTTGCATGTACCCCTTCTTGGTATTTTTAATTTGTATAGTATGAAACTAAAGTACAGGGAAAATCTAATTGATCATTTTCATTTTGTTTGAATTACTGAAAGTAGAATATTTTTTTTTCTGTGTAGTTTAACTCTGTGAATCTACTTCAACCTATGAAACTTAAGTCCACAAATAATCTTGAAATTCTGAACTTAAACGAAACCATGCGGTGAAATGATGTGGTATGAGTTGTGCTACTCTTGTGTTACAAAAATGCAACTGTTGAGAGATGGCTGTGAGCATCTTTTGACATGTGAGGGAGGATTGATTTGTGTGGCTGTTTTTTAACTGGGTATTCCAGTTTTCTGAGCAACTTCTATTAATAGCTGCCTGAAATTACTGTGATGGAATGCTGAGGAGAAAATGAGACAGGCAGTTATAAAAATTACATGAGAAGTTAGTTTCATGTATATTTGTAGTTTGACATTTGGCTAGTACTGCAGAATTTATTTCTAAGTGCTTGTCAGACATAAACTTGCCTGTTAGAGAGTATTCATCAGGATGAACACATCATTAATTCTTAATTTTCTTTGAATTTTAGATGATCATAGTCGTGTAAAACTGCAGAACACCGAGAATGACTACATCAATGCCAGCCTAGTGGTCATAGAAGAAGCTCAGAGATACTATATTTTAACACAGGTAAGTAGTACCAATTACTGGGTTATTACACTGATTAAGAATCTAGGGGAGGGGGTTTTGTACAGCTGTAGTTTATATTTCAACAGTTCCTTGTCTCTGAGAATTATATATATCTCATACTAATTTCCTGTTTGATCTAGTTATGAACACATTAACTTTTTCTTAAAATATAAAAGGGAATAGTATGGATATTTTACTGCATGCAAAGCTTTTCAAATATCTCGTTCTTTTCTTCAGTTCTTTTGGAAATAGGTTGCAACAGTACTTTTACCCCTTATTTTGTGTTGTATCTTATGAACATGCCTGCAATAGCTTTTGTTCTAATGGCACAATAATATTTGATGCCCAAACTGAAACATCCCTTCCCAGAATTCTGAAAGTATTGTTGTATCATTTGGTCTTTTTTACTTAAAAACAAGCTACTGGCATGATCTGTGCAGGGAGATTACTTTCTTGCCTGTCATTTATGTCATTCTATTAATAATTTTGTTGAACTTTTCAGAGGAAGACATTTTCCTATTTCACACAGTGAACTATTAACTTGTGTTCAAGTACTGCTTTGCCTAGCATTCTCCCACCAGTTTTCTTTTCTTTATTACACAGGGTCCACTACCTAATACATGTTGTCATTTTTGGCTAATGGTATGGCAACAACAAACCAAAGCAGTTGTCATGCTGAACAGAATTGTTGAAAAAGAATCGGTAAGTAATGTAAAGCCTGAAGTTGTAAAGTAAGCCACATCATTTTCATACAGTTGAACAACGTTTAATTGTTGTGTTAAAAGAGCTAACAGACTTTCTCACTGGTGTGCAGTGTAGCATGTACTTAATATAACGTTAAGGGGACGGAGCCGAGAAACAATATTCTGTTCGTTGCAAACGGTTTTTGATAAATACACATCTGGAAAGGGTAACAGTAACACCCTGAGAAAGGAGGATGTACAGATAGAAGTATGATGGAGTAAAAGCAGTATAAGATGCTCTAGAATAGTATGGAAGGTGGGAAAATAAGTTTGAATTAAAGGATCTTTAGATTATTTCTCCTAAATCTAACAAAATAGTGTATTTATTAAATATTGACCATAACAGTTTGTTACAATGTAGACAAGCTGCTGCCCAGTAACTGTCAAACTGGTCTAGTTATTTTTGGTTCTTTACAGCTGGTGATGTACATGCAGCATACATGAATCCTGTGTTATCATGTAGTTTTTCTGCTAATGAGTCTAAAACCACTGTGGATTTTGGTTACAAATGCATGTCATTTGTGGTTTATGGTTTTTCTGCAGAGTAGATTTTTTAGTGAAAAAGATTTGACTAGTCCATTAAAAAGTCACTCATTTTCTTGCGCAGAAGTTTTCTTCCAGCAAGTTTGAGTGCACAACCAGAGGAATAAAGGACAAGAGATGGTTTTTGCGTTGCTTGCTTATTTCTTCTCACTAGAGTCTCCCAGTATTTGGCAAGCCTTGGGAAAACTGGTTGTGTTACACCAGCTCAGTAAATGTGCAGGTGTGCATGTTAGAAATGGAGGGGGATATAGCTGAATGAAGGTCTCTTCACTGTAAAGAGTTTGAGAGAGGAGAGGGAGATGGGTTAAGATGTATCTCAACATGCTAGGTCTGCCGTGAAAGAGATCATAAACAGATAAAGCTAGAATGCATAACAGCTATAACAGTTATAGTAACTTGCCTGTAACCATTATGGATTGAGACAATTCCTCAAAGTGGGAGCAGGTACTTGAATTGTAGTGAACAGTGGGGTCCCAGAATCTGCTCATGCAAAGCACAAGATACTAGAATACTTAACCAGATTTTTCTTTTTTTTTTTTTTTTTTCTTCTGTTTTTAAAAAATGAACTAGGTGAAGTGTGCACAGTACTGGCCAACAAAAGAAGAGGAAGTTATGACATTCAGTGAAACAGGGTTCCGTGTGAGGCTAGTATCGGAAGACATCAAATCCTATTACACAGTACATCTACTGCAATTAGAAAATATCAATGTAAGCTTTTCTGTTTGTATAGCACATATTCCTGGGCTTCAGTATCTAATTAAAACCACTTAGCATATTGTCACTACAGGTTTGATTGAGCTTTTACACTCAAAATTTTAATGCACTTTGCTTCTTATAATTTTGAAGATACATGTGTGGCATATAAGCAAGGGAGTTAGACCTGAATTAATCTTTATATTAAAACAGATAACAGCTTCAGCATTTTTATACCTTATTTTCCATTTGGCAGTAGCTTAACATACTGAATTGTAATTGATGGTAGTGGTGATTCTAAAAGGAGCTGTAAGAAATAACAGGAGGAACCTAGGAGTTGGAATTTCTAATTTCTTTTGAATATCAGGAAGCAGACTAAGTAATTACTGTTTTTTAATGGAATGTTAGTTTTTCATATAATTCAGTCCAGCTATCTTAAGTTTTTATGGGGCGGGATGCTTACCACCTGTAGATAGGTAACTTTATCTCCTCTTGCTTACCTCCCCTTTTGCTTCACAGGACCAACCATCCTTTTCTCTTAAAATTAAGCACTTTGACAATTTAATCAAGTTAAGCTCAGAAAAATTGTTCCTGGCCTGAGCTTGGGTTGGAATTTGCTGCTTCTGTTTCAGAGCTGAAGACAGGATTGAAGAGCTTGTCTGTTTGTTCCAGCTATGTCTTGTAAGATATTCTCTCTCCCTATAAACCTTGCCTTATATTAAATGAAAGTGCTAGTATGGCAGGTTTTATTCAAGATTCTTATCAGTGGATTTGGGAAAGGAAAGCTTGAAGATATTTTTTGTATGTTGTTTTGTACAACTAAGCAGTGATATATTTGGTCAAAAATATTTAAATTTATAGTAACTAGTAATGGTACTTTAAGATTTGTTAATTCGAAAACTCCCTCATTAAATGAACATGATAAAACTTGGCATGTTGTTCCTTGGTCCATTCAATGTAAGAAGAGATTTATAAAAATCTGTCTTACTGACCTGAATATTTTTTTATTAGTTGTTTGTTTACTGACAGCAAAGGAAAAAGGAGTAACTTGCAAGCTAGTCCTGGGAAAGAATAACTTTCCTTTGTGGAAAGCTGAGGCAAGTTTTCCTAACTACCAAAAAGGCTTCTTCATGGAATTTTCTGGTTGATGTTGTCCCCTAATCTTAAACTTTCCATTTTCAAAGGATGCAATTTTCATGATAGATATGCATTTGGGTACAACATTAGCTGAAAAATAGAGAAATCCCCTGAGGAACAGCATGATGTTGGAGCTATTGGCCACTTAAATTTCTGAGTTTATTTTGGTCTGGTAGTACAGGCTCATCAACACTGTACAGAGGTTCTTGTATGTCATGTTACTCAGTTTCATGAATACTTAGCCAACTTACTGTATTGGCTGTTTATTTTAATGGCCCTAGCACTCCTGTAAGGCTCCACGAGTATAAACTCCAAAGAATACTCTTTTTATACAAGTGCTACAAGAAGGAGAACACACTTGGTTGCTCAAACAGAAAAACTACCTAGTTTCTAGAATAACACTGCAAACGTTAAGTGCAGCCTTTTGTAAGAATTTGATAATTATACCATGAAACTTGTGGGAACTGAGTATTCACAGTGACTTGAAATGTGAGCTAAACTATGTTTATACAGGTTATTCTGCAGGGGACTTTGGTGGAGGCAGAGTAATAAGACACTTAGCCATGTGAAATATAAGATGACGTACAAACCAAATATACTCTGAATTCCAGGAATACTTAAAAAAAAAAGAGCATTTCCTATTCCAGCTAGAAATGTGTTTATATTATGACTGTTTTGAACCTTAGTGAATTTGCATTACTGCAACACATCTCACTTACTAGATAAACAAAATACATATGTATGAAGTGCTTGTTTAATGTTCTTACCAATGAAACAACCTCTGAATATTTGGAAATATTGTTGGTTTTTTTGCTTTATTTTATTAAAGAGCAGTTGGAAATACGAGTGAAATTGGGGGTGGCAATGTTTGTTTTTTAGTATTAGATCAAGGCATTTGGTGGTTTTATTTGTTTATCTGTTCTAGGTAAATATTTGGTTTTGTTGTTGGGGCTAGTTTAGTCTCATAAAGCTTTGGAGAGGAGATGGTGTTTATTTGTGTATTTCAGAAACTTTTGAAAATATTTCTAATCTGCTTTGTCTTGCTGGTGCTTATTGCAGAATTTCTTTGGTTTTTGCGTGACCCGGTCTACATTTTAGAATCTAGAAATTTGAAGCTGCCTTTCCACCATGGTTCATTGTGTATCTATCCTCCAGAATTTTGTTGTTGTAAATGGTTACATTTTCTGAAAGTTGACTGCTGCTTTCTGCTGTAGTTGCTCAGGTTCAGAACTCACCTTGAGGAGAATTGTTAGATGCTAACAGCTAGCTTCTGGAAGACTCCACTTTGTGTTGAATGTGTATTTTTATATTATTCTTCATTGTTGCTTCTAGCTTTCATTGTCATGAATATAAATACGGTTTTTTAGAGAAGGAAAACTTGTGTTTTCAGTAATTTCTGGTATGGCAACCCAGATAGCATGGAGGAAGATAGTGTTCTCATAATGAATGCTTATAAGCAAAACCCCACTATGTTGATACTAGAGTGTTCAGAGAAGCTATGTGAGGGCAAAGGAGCAACAGTACTTGAGGGAAACCAGGGATTGACTGAGTGAGGAGGAAGTGGAGCACAGGGAAAGAATCAAAATTGCTGGAGGAACCTTGATGAGCATATCCCAAGCTGGGTTCCTAGAAGTAAGAATAAAGCAACTGAAGGAGAGATTTGAAAATAAAATATCTGCTGGAGAAGAAAGAACTGAAAGTAATTAACAAGATTTGATATGACACGGTATAATACTTTAGAGTAAGGTCCATTAATAAACTCCAAGTGGAATCTTAAGTTCTCTGCAAACAGCAAATATATGGAAAAACCCATTAGCAAAATGGATTCTCAATTTGTTACCAAGCCTCTGATGGCCACTGATGTCAGATTAAGGTGATACAAGACTGCTTAGTGGCCTTCACTGTCTGTCTGATCCAGTGGATAAACCAGGAACTGCCAGTGTAGTTCAGGAAGATAATACTTGCTTTGCTGCTAGTTTCTAATGTCCAAAATTTTTAATGTACTGATAGTTCTTTGTGGGGGCAAGCAGTCTAATGGCAGGCAGTGTTTTGTGGTATCTTTGTGTATGGATGTGTATATGTGTCTCACTCTTACAGTGTTTTGAAGGGATTTCTGAAATACGGCACATACTTGCTTCTAAATTTATAGGTTGTCTTCATATCACGTTGACTAAGTGCAAGGGGATTAATTTTGGTCTTCATGACCACAGAAATAAGACTGAGGTGTTAGGGTGGGTACTCCTGTCTAACAGGAAGGAGGAATCCAGTTTCACTTGAATATCGAGTCTCTGGCAGACTCCATGGGCATAGCTGTTGATATGTTGACTTACAGGATGTGCACTTGTTATTAAAAAAAAAACAAAACAAAACAGTCCAGGTGGTGAGGATTATCTGGCTCCCATTGTCCTCAATACCATTTTTGTAAACATGTTGAAAACCATTTTGCCAAGCACTGGAATGAATTAATAGAACTAAAAGTTTATTGAATAGTTTGAATTTTAGCACTTAGAATGTTGCCCTTAAAGCATGCCTTCTTATTTTTGTGATCAAATTAGTTGCTAATGCACTTAAGGTATGATTGTTAAATACAGGACCACTGAGTTTGTAGGTGTATTTAATGCCTTCTTATGTTAGACCACTTCAGTAGCCCTTAAACTGTGATATGAAGGCTTTGATAAGGAGTGTGTGAAATTTGACAGATCAGCATTTTTATATCTTCACCAGTTTACTTGACACTGAAGTTGTCAAATTCCTCTGAACATTTTGTTAGTATTTTATTCATGTTCATAATCTCAGATTAGTGAACAATCCAAAGTTATTCTAAGATTTCTGTACCCTTTTGAGTGATTGGATAGTCATTGAAAAAAAAGGTTATGACAAGGCTCATTTTGATGAAAGTCTAATAACATTAGGTTATTTTTCTGCTCAAGTCTGTATGTGAATGTCTGCTTGTGACCTGGAGCATGGCTTGTGGTTTCTTGTCCTTGAACTCTGCTGTTAGTGTTACCAGCAGTCGTTGGAGAACTGTGCAGTGTGGTGGTAGCTTGCTGAGTTTATTAGTTTTAGCTGTGTAGGTTATTTACTGAAAGCTTATCCCAGTAGTTTGTGAAACTTTTGCTAGAATGGTTTGACTGGGTTTTTTGAATAGTCATTTAAAAGCTCTCCCATTATTATTTAAGGATTTTTTTGTTTTCTCTCTTTCGGTAGCTAGTCTTAGGGAATACATCTTGGAAGAACATGTTGTGGTTGCTATCAAATAAGCTGGTTCTCAGTTACTGTTCAAAAGTGTGTTCCCAATGTATAACACAGATAAAATTTTTTATTAATGCCTGAGTTTTGAAGTCCAGCTTAGTTCTTTAAGAGAGTGTCTAGTTTCCTGATAACAATTTTAATAACATTAGTTGTTCTTTATAATTGAGTTTTTGTCAATCAACGGTTGTGAGTCTTTAGCAAGCCAAGCCTTTTCTCATTGTAATCCTGCATCATTTCACATAAGTGATAGCTGCGCTGAGTGACAGGGGGAGTTCTTTAAGAAAGGGTGATATGATTATTAACAAAAAGACAGTATTTCAGCTGAACAGCTTGACTGCCAAGCATCACTTGAAAGAGCCATTCTGTTTAAGAGAGAAAATGTGGGGTGTTTGAAATAGTCAAATGGATTTGGATGTCTGATTAGAAACTGTAAGGCCAAAGATGACCAGCCGGTTCCAGTGCTCTGAGATGAGACTCAGAGTGAAAGAGATTAGGTGTTTTTAAAATGAGCTGAAGTGGTGGGAAACTGTGGGATGAATAAAGCCTTCATACAGTATGGGAAGGGAGAAAAAATTATGTGGGTTAGAGCTGGATGAGATGTACGACAGCATTGTTTAATCCTTCCTGTAGAGATACCCGTTTTCAGATTATTGTATGAGCAGCGTGACTGGCCTTGTGCTTGAAGCACTACTGATTTTTTTAGAATGCTTACTGCTTGTTGCAGTATGAGAGTTGGGGGGGGAAATCCACAGGTTACCTTTGTTTACTATAGATGAGGGCGTTTTTGCCTTCTTTGGGTATAAGGGAGGCTTTAGTCTAGAATACTATTTAAGAATCTTGAGGGACAGGAGTAGAGTATCAGTTACCACTTCAAAGAATCATCTAGATTCACAAGAAACCACTTTAAACTTTGTTCTACCCAGTCTGTGCATTTAGTTAATCTGTCTAGCTTTCCTTTTAATCTTATTTTAAATTGATGAGTTGTTTTTCTTGGAAATAGAGAAAATAGCTTGAGTGTTATCTCTGAAATTCTGTAATTCCCAGATTTCTTATGAAAATGTGTCTCCATGATTTTTAAACAAATGGATCATTTGACTTGATAGATTTAGTGAGATAAGTCAGTAGTTGAAAAACTAGGTACAGAAAACCAGTAAGATGCCAGTTGAAAGTGCAAACTTTTTTTAGTGCTTTGCTTCAGACAAATAAGAATGGGAAATTCCAGTATGTTTGTACAATTTAGGCCTTGGTAGGTTTTTTTTCCTTTTGAAATCTTACTCTGTACTCCATTTCCCAGTATGATGGATCCAGCTCTGTTGTCCTGGTTGAGCTCTTAGCCAAAAGACACTATTCCTGGAAGATAACTGTACATTTGAGAGTGATTTGAGTAATTTTATTATCCAGTTTTCTCTGAAAGTATTGGCAGTCTTTCAGTATTAGGCATTCAAGGCAAAGGACAAATGGGAGAGTATTTTCGTTACTGTTCTAAGCTTGAAATGGACTGTTCTCATTTCACAAAGATGTTTTTGTAAGTTGCCCCTCATAAGAAGTTCAAACAAATTGAGGAAGAGATTAACAATAGAATTGGTTTGGATGTCAAAGCTATATTTTACTGTTGCTGAAAAATAGCTCTTCTGGAATACATTGACATTTTAAATCTTGTGTTCCAACTTTGTGGAGGTTTATGTAGGTTTCAGACTACTTGAAAAATAAGATGGTCTGAAATATGTTTAGTAAAAATATGATCTAAATTTGTCATCAAAGCTTTTCAGATATATAGATGATTTCTTGCAGTACTTAGGAGAGGAGCTGCATGGTTCTCAAACAACTGCATAGTTTGGGAATCTGTCTTTCTTACTTACAAAGAATTTATATATCCAGTAGAACTCTTGCTAGACATCCTGCTATATGGGTTCTTCTAGGATTTTTCTATAAAGCTTCCTGCTTCTCTCAGTAGTGTAGTTAGTATAAAAAGGATGCTAATACCTTTTGATACTAAAACTTGCCCTGAGCAAGAGTGGAGAGTGCTTACAATGCTGATGGGCATTTTTTTTCAGTCCTGTTCATGTTAGCAGTCTAATAACTGCTGACAGCTATTAAGCTGCAGAAATGGTAGAAAAAGAAGAATGTTTGGAGGCAAGTAGTAGAGCAAACCGAGTATAATACTGAAAGGTTGAGAAGAAGAAAAAAAAGTGTATGGTAATAATTGCCAAGGGGAAAACTACCAACATGGAGGAAAAACTGCTTCAGGTTGCACTGTTGGTTGTCATCCAACTTGAAGCAAGTGACTGGATTGTTTTTCCAAGTGGGAGGTTAAAAATAGAAAATAGGTATTGGTTTAAATTGGGGAAATGTGTGCTAATTAAACAAAGATAGAATACTTTCTAGTTGTATTGTATATTTGTTTTCTCTTCTAGAGTGGTGAGTCCAGGATGATATTTCATTTTCATTATACTACATGGCCAGACTTTGGAGTTCCCGAGTCCCCAGCTTCATTCCTGAACTTCCTGTTTAAAGTCAGAGAGTCTGGCTCCCTGAGTTCTGAACATGGACCTGCAGTAGTTCACTGCAGTGCGGGGATAGGACGTTCTGGCACGTTTTCATTAGTAGACACTTGTCTTGTTCTGGTGAGTGTTTGGTCATTTTCTCTGCCACCTCTTCTGACACCCTGCCTGTCTTTCTAATATGGATTTTTTGGTCAAAAGGCTTTAAAAGCATTTAAGTTAATGGCATGCTAGTGAAAACGTTATTTAGAGATCATCCTTAATGCAGCATGTAATGGAGGATGGTACAGAATTTTCTCTAGCTGTGCAGCCCTCTGGGAGGGAGGTGGGGCTTGGTAGGCAGTTGCAGTACGACATGAATAAGTTTTTTGCTTACTCTGTTAACTGCATCATCTGTAATTGCTCATGACTGGAGTGAACTTGAAATCTTAAATAATGTTTAAAATATCTTTACATTTTGTTGCATTTTTAAGACCAGACAGACTTTTTGTCTTTGGCTGTGCTTGGTAATAGTGAGAAGTACAGTACAGGGTTAGGTGAAATAGGATTTCATTTACATTTTAAGACACTTATCTTCTGGTTTGGTGAAGTCCTCTCTATTTTTTTTTCTTCAGTTTTTCTTCTGCATTTTGAAAAACAGAAGTGTTATTTTGATAGAAGTATACTTTAATAATGAGGTGAATTAAAGTGATCATTGCAAGGAGTTCAGATATGTGGTTAAAAATACCCGATGAATGTAGTGTGGGGATAAGTGTGTTCATTCCTCAGATTAGGGATTTTGCTTGAAACAAGAAAACTTCTGCCACATTCCATCATTGCAAATTGCTGTTCTATTCAGGAGAAACAGAAAATATTGCTTTATAGTTCTGATGCTTACAGTCCTATTTCAAAATACATACACATGCCTGAATAAAATCAAGTGTATCTAAATTTTTTTATTTTAAGGCTTGATACTAGTGTACTGATTTATTTGGTTAATACATATGTGATAATTGATGTGTTAATAATAAGCTTTTATTAGATGGTTAACTTTTTCCCTGTAAAAACTATTTAGAAACAATTTGAGATGTTACTTTCATATATAGGTAATGGAAACATGGAAGAAATTAATTTTTATATTTAATTCTATGACTCATTTTTACTTGTAATTATTTTTTCTGTGTTGTCTCCATCAGTAGCAATGATGCTTTTAATATAACTTTCTTTACAGATGGAGAAAAAAGACCCATTTTCTGTAGATATTAAGAAGGTATTACTGGATATGAGAAAATACCGAATGGGACTTATTCAGACTCCTGATCAACTAAGATTTTCATATATGGCTGTAATAGAAGGAGCAAAATTTATAATGGGGGATTCAACTATACAGGTAAATTTTTAGCTCCATATATTAAAACGTGAACAGTAGACTGCTAACAGTAGTTAGGAATGATGTATAAACTATTTTAAACCATATAACTTTGTGGGATTTAAATAACTTGCCTTTTTCTATAGGCATATAGAAGGCTTTAGAGGGTATCTGATCAGCGCTTTCTATTGGCTAAACTTCTATATATTTATCCCCTCTTAGATAAATATAAAAATAACTTATCTGTGCTAATGTTTATAAAAAAAGGTTGATATCTTCAGTACTGGAGGGCAAAATAATGCCCAGTATTACTTTGAAAAGATAGCAAGGATCCTAGGTTTTATTTTTGCTATATATTTTTCTAACAGTAAAATTGTTGGATGCTACAGATCAGGTTTATTCACAAAGTTTGGTTTTTTTCATATGCTTTACAATTTGTGTTACAGCTAGTGGAAGGTAGAGGAATATGAGATTACCAAGTCTCACTATTTTATCAGTGTGGCTTGCAGATATAATAGGAGCTACAGCTATTTTAAATGGTGGGAGGGAAGACTGGGAGGAGAGGCTGTGAAACAGACTTAATTCTGTTTACTTATGCTAGGGCTTTTTTATGTCATTAATCTTTTAAAATCATGAATGGAGCAGGTAAACACAGTTCCTCTTTTCTGTGGTTCTGGTAGTTGTTGGATTCTTCTCTTTGAAGAAATATTTCTTGTCTTACTGTATAAATAAAGAAATCATTTGGCACAACCGCTAATCAACATGTAGGTAGTGTGCTGCTAATCTGACACCTGTACCATATCCCTAGAAGATTGTGTGATTCACTGTAAAGCTAATTTAGCTTCTTGTTTCTCTGGAAGCAATTTCTGGGGGTGTGAAGGTATTGCCTGTAATTTTTCTGCTTTTTTTTCTTTCTTTTTTTTACAAAGCTATCGTCCTCTGACTGAGTAGCTCTGGTTCCCACACAGGATCTAGATCACAGGATTTCTTGTTTCTGGATACAAGGGAGCATTGTCAATTGAGAACACTGCTTGTCAGGTTCAAGTGTGTTACTTCTTCATACTAAGAAAATACAAAGAAGGCACAATTCTCACTTGTTCTGTTTTTTCTTTTCCTTGTCACCATTGTATTATTCAGTTGGTCTTTCCTAAATAAGTGTTTTCTGCAGTGCACGCAGTTGTCCTGGCATTTTTCTCTCTAGACCTCAGAGTCCTGTCCAGAAAATTAACTGGCAGTACTTAATAGGAGTATTTCTCCTATCAAGGTCAGCTAGATAATGCTTTTCTCCCATATGGAACAGTGGTACTGCCCAGAATGTGTGTGTGCTTCTCTAGCATACACTCTTTGAGAAGGTGTTCACTCTGCTAATGATGGGGAGGGAATGAAGTCATTGAACACTTCTCTAATATAACAGTACCCAAATGTTCATCTCTGGCATCTCCATGGATTTCAGAAGTCAGTAGACTGTCCAAACAGAACATATACCAAACCTTTACTTGCCTTACAGCTAGTGCCTGCAACTGCAGCACTTTGGGAGGTGAGGAGTCTTTTCCCCTTGTGTAGCACCAATCCTTTTATAACCTGATGACCTGAGTATTGGACGAGGGAAAGGCTGTGGATATTGTCTATCTGGACCTCCAAAAGGCATTTGACACGGTTCCCCATAGAACTCTCATTAAAAACCCGGCTGCTTATGGCCTGGATGAGCACACGATCTGTTGGACCAAGCACTGGCTGGACAGTCGGGTCCAAAGAGTGGTGGTCAATGGAGTCAAATCCAGCTGGGGCCAGTCACAAGTGGTGTTCCTCAGGGCTCAGTGTTGGGACCGTTTCTGTTTAACATCTTTGTTGATGATCTTGATAAGGACATAGAGTGTATTATCAGTAAGTTTGCAGATGACACCAAGCTAGCTGGGAGTGTTGATCTGCATGAGGATAGGGAGGCTCTACAGAGAGACTTAGATAGATTGGATCGTTGGGCTGATGTTAATGGTCTGGACTTCAACAAGGCCAAGTGCCGGGTCCTGCACTTGGACCACAACAACCCCATGCAACGCTACAGGCTTGGAGAAGTGTGGCTGGAAAGTGTCTGGCAGAAAAGGAACTGAGGGTTCTAATGGACAAAGGGCTGAATATGAGCCAGCAGTGTGCCCAGGTGGCCAAGAAAGCCAATGGCATCCTAGCTTGTATTAGGAAGGGATGAGGTTAGGAAGGCTAAAGCCCTGATAGAATTAAATCTGGCCAGGGACATCAAGGGCAATGAGAAGAGCTTCTATAGGTATGTTGATGATAAAAGGAAGACTGGGGAAAATGTGGGCCGTTTCCGGAAGGAAATGGGAGACCTGGTTACCCAGGATATAGAGAAGGCTGAGGTACTCAATGACTTTTTTGCCTCAGTCTTCACTGGCAAGAGCTCAAGCCACACCACCCAAGTTGCAGAAGGCAAAGGCAGGAACTGGGAGAAGGAAGAACCACCCCCAGTTGGAGTAGACCAGTTTTGAGACCATGTAAGGAACCTGGAAGTGGATCTTGGGGTTCTGAAGGAACTGGTAGATGAAGTTGCAAAACTGCTTTTGATCATATTTGAAAAGTCATGACTGTCTGGTGAAGTTCTCACTGACTGGAAAATGGGAAATATAACCCTCATTTTTAAAAAGGGAAAAAAGAATACCTGGGGAACTACAGGCCAGTCAGTCTTACCTCTATGCCTGGAAAAATTGTGGAGCAGATCCTCCTGAAAGTTGTGCCAAGGTTCATGAAAAATAAGAAGGTGGTTGGTGACCACCAGCATGGTTTTTCCAAGATCAAATGGTGCCTGACAAATTTGGTAGCCTTCTGTGACAGGGTTACAGAGTTGGTGGATAAGGGAAGAGCAACTGATGTCATCTGCTTGGATATGTGCAAAGCATTTCACACAGTCCTCCATGACATCCTTGTCTCTAAATTGGAGAGATGTGGACTTGATGGATGGACCACTCAGTGGATAAGGAATTGGCAGGATGGTCACACTCAAAGAGTTGCGGTCAACAGCTGGATGTCCAGGTGGAGATCAGTGATGAGTGGTTTTCCTTGGGACCAGTGCTGCTGAACATCTTGGTTGGCAGTGTGGACAGTGGGATTGAGTGCAACTTGAAGAAGTTTGCTGATGACATGAAGCTGTGTGGTTGACATACTGGAGCGAAGGGATACCGTCCAGAGGGACCTGGGGAGGTGGGCCCATGCAAAGCACATGAAGTTCAAAAAGGCCAAGTGCAAGGTTCTGTGCATGAGTCAAGGCAATCCAAAGCACAGTTACAGGTTGGGCAGAGAATGGTTTGAGAACAGCCTTGGGAAGAAGGACTCAGGAGTGGTAGTAGATGAGAAGCTCAATATGAGCTGGCAATTTGTCCTTGCAGACCAGAAAGCCAACAGTGTCCTGGGCTCCATCAAAAGAAATATGGCCAGCAGGTCAAGGGAGGTGATTCTCCCTTTCTACTCCATTCTGGTGAGACCCTGTCTGGAGTACTATGTCCAGTTCTAGAGCCCCCAATATAAGAAGAATATGGAGCTGTTGAAACAAGTTCAGAAGAGGGCCACGAAGATGGTCAGATGGCTGGAGCACCTCTCCTGTGAAAAAAAGCTCAGAGAATTGGGGCTGTTCAGCCTGGAAAGAAAACAACCCTTCATGGAGACCTTATAGCAGCCTACTAGTACCTGAAGGGAGCCTACAGGAAAGCGGGGAGGGACATTTTACAGTGATAGTGATAGGACAAAGGGTAAAGGTTTCAAACTGAAAGAAGGTGGATTTAGATTAGATAGCATGAAGAAATACTTCACTGTGAGGGTGGTGAAACACTGGAACAGTTTCCCCAGGGAAATTGTGGCTCCTCCCTCCCTGGAAGTGTTCAAGGTCAGGTTTGTTGGGGCTCTGAGCAACCTGGTCTAGTGGAAAGTGTCCTTGCCCATGCAGGGGTGTTGGAACTAGATGGTCTTTGAGATCCCTTCCAACCTTAATGATTCTATGAAAAGCTGCTTCCACATTGTGAAGCTACTGTGGACAGTACACACTCTGAAGTTAGTGGCCTCATACCTTCAGAATAGCATAATACTGGAGAAATATGAGAAGACATCTTTGTTGGAGAAGGTGCATCTTTACATAACCTTGTTTCTTCATGTAGCAATTTTTTTTCCCCCTTGATCTAGTAATTCCTTTAATCTACTTCTGTGATTGTTCTGTTGGAAGACATATTGGGCAAAGAGGGCCCTCAGCATTAGGGAAATGTTTGAAGTATGTTCTCCTTGTTTGCAGAAACGGTGGAAGGAGCTCTCTAAGGAGGACCAAGCGCCAACTTCTGAGCAGTCTCCTCCACACCCAACCAAAATAACCATGGAGAAGTACAATGGGAACAGCATAGCCCTGGAGAGCAAAGATCATATGGAGAAAATAAATGCTGACCTGTCCACTAAAGTTCAAGATATCGCAGGTGAAAACATCGAAAGGTAGGCAAAATGAGGAAACTGTGTAAAAGACAGGTACACACTTAAAAGGCTGAGTATGCTTTTTTTATAAGAAACCTTCAAGATCTTTTTTTCAGTAGAGGGAAAGGATAGGTAGTATTTGACTGTCTGATTTGTCTTTTAAAATGTAACTTCAGTTATTCCGTGTGTTAAAAGTTTTACGGTTTAAAGGTCAAGAAAACACAGATAACTCTTAAGTGAGGCAGCTACACCTCATGCTTGGAAGTCTTTTCCCACAGACAGACTGTGAACTCTGTTGTACAGTGTGAATTGCATCCCAAAAGTGCCTACTATAATCTGATACTGATTTTTAAATACAGTGCTAACTTTCTTGCATGGTGACTGAAATTGTATCATTGGAGCCATATGTTACCCTATTAATTCATGCTAAATTTAGTGCTATTAATAGATTTCTGTTATTTAGCTGTGTCACCTGAATTTGATTTTGTCAAGTTTCTCTGCCTAATGAGTATTTATGCCCCAGCTGTGAACTGCTGAATAAAGAATGCTTTGTTTACATGCATATAGTGCTGCCATTTGCTTCTGGTGGGTTGGTTCACTATTGGGAGTGTGTTGGGAAGAGGTTTGTTTTAATATTCTGGTGGCCTTTTTTCCAGTTCTAAAATGTTAGGTTTACCTTTTCTTTTTCCTTCTCTTCCAGTGCTGTCCGAAAACGACTGCGAGAGGATCGAAAAGCTAATACAGCACAGAAGCTGCAGCAGATGAAGCAGAAGCTAAATGAGACTGAAAGAAAAAGAAAAAGGTGGTTATATTGGAAACCTATTCTCGCTAAGATTGGGTTTGGTACACTGATTTTAGTTGGCGCTTTTTTTTTGCTGGAAAATATATTTTCAGGAACATTCCTTGTAAGTAGACAGTAAGCCTGTCTACTTCAGCAGCTAATTTTGCTGAAAGTTAATGACTAGGGGTGTCACTTTAAGCAGTAAACTCCTTACACATGGAATGGGTACAGACTGTTACATACAATAGAGAAGTGATGTAAACTTGATTACGTGTCAACATCTCAGGACTTTCCACTGCAGGTACTTACAAAAATGAACTGCTGCCCCCCAACAGAGTTGATGTTTTTTGTTAATATGAGCAGGTACAAACTTACTGCAACTCTTTATACACTTTTAAAAATGGTATTCTACTGGATCGTAAGCAAACTCTGAACCACAGAGATTTAGCTACTGAAGGCTGCCTGGATTTAAATTTACATGCCTAACATAAGCAATAAACAGTGTTGTATCATTTACATTATTAATGCAAAGAAGTTATCCTTAAATGTGTGTAATGTGTAATGTATTAGTGACATGAACGTAAACATTTTATATTCTTACAACCTAGGATAAATATATTTTATAATTGCATATTTAATCTTTTTGTAGTTCACTGTACTTTTAAAAGCTCAGTTTGTACAAATTTCTGATCAAAAATAATTTGATTTTGAAACTAAATGTAATTATAATTTGTGCATGAAAATAATAGTGCAACCATTCCCCATATTTTGACTCTCAAATTTATGATGTGAGCAGCTAGGGGTCTGATGAAGCACTTACCCATTTCTACTCTGTTAATTTGCATTCCTTATTTATTTTTTTGTAGTTGTCATTATTTAAGTGAGACTTGGAAAATTTGATATATTTTTTTTTAAGGCTTTTGAGAATTTAGCCCCCCTGAAAAGCATACTGTTCAGTTGATTAATGTATTCAGACTTCAGCTAGTGTTTGAAGGCCAACATTGTTAAAGTTCTGACATTCCATTAAATGTGAATCATTGTTTTGTGTGTCTATAGATTTTGGTTGCTAGAAAGAGTAAAATTCATTCCTCAGTAATAGGTGTAGAAAGCAAATCAAAGGAAACTATAGTTTGACTTCCTAGGGTGGTATTAATAGGAAACATGTTGGTAGTATTCTCCCATAACCAGTATATTCAGCTGTGTAAACCACTTCACAAAGTCTAGAATTGCTTTTCAGGTTCCCCAGCACTGTATCAAAGAGGCATGACTTAAAACACTTAATGACCAATACTATGAGAATACCTACGCTGCAGTCGCTTTAAAGTTAAAGAGCAGTCCCTTTCCATTAGTTAAACAATAGCACTTTTTAAACAGTCAATACAAATCACTTTCTGTCATTTCTGTCTTTAAATTCTCTTTCAATGCAGAGACTGTATGTGGCTTTATGTAGCTTGCTGTCAGCCAAGTTCAGGCCTGGTTTTTATTTATTCAAGTATTGCCTTGTTGGGTGACTTCAGAGAAGTCGTGTTTTCTCTCTTCATTTTTCTAGCTTGATTGTTTTATGTTGGGTGTTTGGGTTTGGTGGAATTTCTCCCGCCCCCCCCCCACCCCCCCCCTTTGGTCCTTTTGTAAAGTACTGATTGGATTGACTGCTGAAAAATACTAAAAGAGCTACATAATAATTTTGCTCCTTCTCCAAAGGAATTAACTTGAAAGGTTTCCAGTGCACACAAGCTTAGTAGTAGCATACCAGGCATGGGGCCCAAATAGTCTGACGTTTACTACGCAAAGCTAAGTTGAGTTTACTCTTTTAAATTCTCGTTTCACAATAGCTAATACTATTTTGGACTGCACTGTTTATATAGTAAACAAATGCTTAAGGATTCAGACAAGCAAAACAAGTGTAGTTTCTTGGAACATACGGTTCTGAATTTGGGAAATGGTGTGTTAGTAAATGAGTACAATTTGTCCTGTGGCTGGTCCCGAACGCCTGGGTCCTCCCCCGAACTCCTGGGTCCCCCCTGAACCTCTTAACCCCCCCCTTTGGTCCTTTTGTAAAGTACTGATTGGATTGACTGCTGAAAAATACTAAAAGAGCTACATAATAATTTTGCTCCTTCTCCAAAGGAATTAACTTGAAAGGTTTCCAGTGCACACAAGCTTAGTAGTAGCATACCAGGCATGGGGCCCAAATAGTCTGACGTTTACTACGCAAAGCTAAGTTGAGTTTACTCTTTTAAATTCTCGTTTCACAATAGCTAATACTATTTTGGACTGCACTGTTTATATAGTAAACAAATGCTTAAGGATTCAGACAAGCAAAACAAGTGTAGTTTCTTGGAACATACGGTTCTGAATTTGGGAAATGGTGTGTTAGTAAATGAGTACAATTTGTCCTGTGGCTTTACTAACCAACTATGCAGCTCTAATAGCGAAATGATTTACTGATGGCTGTGACTCAGTACAGGCAGGCAGCTTATGTATTTAAGACATTTCATAATAGTTACTGTGGCAAAAGATTTTAAGTTGGGAAGACAGGTTTTTCTGTGTCAGCTATAACTGATAGTAGGCGTAGATGTATGTGCCTTATAAAAGATACTATAGTTGTGAAAAAACACATGAAATGTAATTGAATGCTTTTATAACAGAAATATTCCAGATTCTATGCTAAATACTTCAACTAAGGAAAAGGTGCAGGCAAAACCTTCACTGAGCACACACTATCAATTATGGCCTTTCTGTTTGCATGAGAAAGATTTCCTGGGCCACCAGTATCCTACACTGAGCTCTAACTGTGGCTTGTAAACTTGTCACTTGTATCTCTTCCTGATTCCATTTTCTAAATCCTGGCTTTTTTGATCTCTTAATCCTGAGCAGGCATTCTTACTTTCTGGGTGGGACAGGGCAGGAGCTTACCATCTTACATCATCTTGCACTTCTTGATGAAATAAAGCAGGACTTGCACATGCAACAGTTGATCTGTAAAAATTTGGTTTGGTTCCATGATCATATCTGTTGAGAATCTTAACTGTTAAGAATTTAAGTACTATGAACCAATACAAGTTTTCAACAAAATTACTTTGTACAGTGAATTATCCATGACAGTACAGGTGTGAGCAGGGACACTAAGCATTAGATCCCTTAGTACATTCTAGGAGATAATTTGGATAAAACTCTATTTTGCATCAGTCAGTAATCCTTAACCACCAACATCTGGAAAAAGCTAGTTCTCTTTTCTGCAAGCTGAGTCCATGTGATAATTTGTTATACTGCAAGATTAAACTTGCAGCAGTTTTACACAACTTGGATGTTAAGTAAGAACAGACACAGGTCAAAATGAGGAACTGTTGATCCCAGTGACCTTTGTTGTAGGAAATGCTTGAAGAAAGAGTAAAACTGAAGGATGTGCCTTCTGACCCCTCTCCTGCCCACTCCCCCCAAGTTCTGACAAGCTTCTGGCTGGTCCTGTGCTGCTTCTAAAATGCTGTTGCACTCGATTCAAAGTGGTGGTGTGTTGGGTTTTGTCCCTCTGTTCTGGAAATATATCGGTCAAAATATTTGATGCATAGTGGACTCCCTTGAACTTGATTAAGCCATGTTTGACTCTGAGATGAACACTTCTGTACAAATTGTGCACGTTTTTATTTAAAAAATCACCAACCAACATTTGGACCTCTGTTTCGAAGGGTTTGCAGATTTGGAATTAGTCCTTTAGGTTTTCTGCTTATGTTGATCTTTGTGCAGGGGCAGTCCACTTAAAGTGATGGTACATCTGTATTTTTCTTGAAATGTTACTACATTTCTTACTACATTGCTTACTAGCAAATAATTGAATTCTGTGTGGAATAGCAATTTGAAAAAAAATAAATTACATATTTATTTTATGGAAGTAAGATGCTGCAAGTGCAACTTAGCTTATTTTGTTCAGCCTTGAGTTAAATGGTTTACTGATACCAGTTTATATCCCACTGAAAAGGGAAGCCGTGTAAATGTGTATGCATGTATGTGTGGTTGGCTTGTGCGGGCAATTTAAAAAGCCTGGATAGCTTTAAGTTTCATGAATGTTAACCAGATTGTTTAGTTTGCTGTTTAGCGTTATAGTTAAACCTGAGTCACGTAGAGGACTCCACAAGAAACTAAATAAACGAAGACAAAAGAGAGAGTCTTCTGCATGGCCAAGTGGCTTCAGTCAGAGGATGAAATTTGTAAAGTTGACATAACACACAGTAGTCTTCCTGGGCTTTTTTGTTTTCCCCCAGAGTTTTAGGTCAGTCTTTCATTTTTATGTATGAAAAATAAATGTGTTGAAAATTTCGTCTCTGTCTGAGTCTTTATTTAAATTGGAAGGATAAATACTTGGAAGAGGTTTTTTTATTCTGTCTTAACTGGTCAAAGTTATCGCTTGCAGAATTTACAAGTGTTTTATTTGTACTAGCTTGGATATTTGGTGCTGTAAACACCAAGATCTTTTCTGAGTTCCTCAAAGTAGAGCCTCCCCTTCCCCAAGAGGAAAATGTCCAGTGTTGGAATGTGTTCCTCACTGCAAGAAACCTTTGCCTAGAAACACCTGTTTTCATGCTGCTGTGTCAGAACTGACCTACAGAGCCATGAGAGGTGGTGTTAGTGTGGTGAGATGCAGCCTTCTGTAGTCCCACTAAGGCCCCAGAAGTCTTCTGCAGTGCTTGTCTTTAAGTGCATGAGTAAGTGGTTTGCTGTACTTGAAGCTCTCCAGCAATTATGTGCCTTATACTCCGGTATGGAAATACCTTCTGAAAAAGCTTTCCACGAGTTCTTGCTACAGACAAGCAATAGTCAGTAGTTGCTACAGGGAACGCGTGAGAAGCTGGTTGGTGTTTATAGTGAGTTACAAACCCACTGTCTGTTCTTATTTCTTTTTCTTCTTTTTTTTTTTAATCCCTACTGTGTACTGAATCGGTGACTTTCTTCTGCATTGTATGTCGCAGGCCGAGACTGACTGACACCTAAGCCTTCAAGACTTGTGAATATTCTGCAGCTATAAACTGCAAATTATTGACATGCAAAGCGAGACATGAGCCCCTCTTCGGGAACAAAAAGTGAGGTCTGTTAAGTACCAAGAAGACCTCAGTTATCTGTTTACAGCGTAAACTGCAGCGAGGGGATGAAGACCACCAGCAGCGTGCTACTTTGCAAAACAAAATAATTTGCCATCTTGTGTTTTTATAATGCCTGTATTAATGTAGAAAGATGTAAAAGAAATAAATTAGGAAATATTTTGTTTTGTACTGCCATTCTTATTGTATTTTTATACTTTTTGGCAGCATTAAATATTTTTTTAAATGGACAATATGCTCTTGTGTGCGCATTATGTTAGGGAGAAACTGTTAAGAGCTTGTTTTGCAGAAGAAGAAATGTTTTGCCTTAAGGTTTCCTGGTAGCCTGTCTTAACTGGAAAGTGGCAAAATGGTTAGAATGTGTTTAAGCAAGTATTTTCAGTAATGTTAAGTACTGTAGTTTGAGCTAGGAGGAACTCTTGCACATTTCTTTTGTAATACACCACTAATAATATGATTTTATTAATCTGACCAGTTGGTTTGGTAATCCTGATGTTTACTATGAAATATGCACAAAATGTTCACAGGCACTTTGTGAAGGGGAAGTGTTTTGTTGGTGGTGGTTTAAAGGGAGCAAAGATGGGAAATCTTGCTACCCACAGCCATATACAATTAATGGGAGCTGAGAGCCAGATGCAAAGTGCACGAAGTGAACGGTGTCTTTAATTAAATGGGTTTTGCGTTGTGCCATCACGGTGTTGTACGTATGATGTTTTACTTGATGTCTCTTGTCAGTGTTCTTTGGGAAACAAACTGAACAGCTGCATTGGAAAAGGATAAAGTGGAATCTGGCTTGAAAGAGTTCTTCTAATGGACTCAGCAGGGTTTCCAGCTCTGTACTTCCTGTAGCAGAGCTGAGCTAAGTTCTGCGCTTGCTGATGATCTTTGACAGTTTCAGATTTAATTAAAAACTCAAACCTATATTTAATACAACTGTTTAAACTAGTATATGATGGGGTTTTATATGTAATTTGTATGTCACATTTTTTTAATGGGTTTTTGTACAAATCATACAGGTGCTGAAAGCGTGGAAGAGGAGGAAAATCTAGGCCAGCTAAGGTTCTAAAATAAGCAGCAATCTAAAATCTTAACAGAACTTGGTTTCGAGACTCGTACATAAAAGCCAGTATGCTCAGAGTTGTGTTTAACTTGAAGGTGAATCAGGGGAATACTTAATGCCATTGCTTGAGCTAAATATGTGCTTGACACTGCCTTGAAATGGTCTGAATCACCAGAGTCTAGTTTGTCTAAGTATTTTTAATTTCTTTAGGTGATTAGTATTGTTCCTCACCTATATTGGAGAAGAATACAACATCACAACTTGATTCAGCTGTCATTTTCAAGTTGGTGCAGGTGTGAGACCAGTAGTATTTATAATGAAAGATCAAGGTCTGCCAAAACCACTGCAATAAACCTGTTGTTGAGTTCAGGAAATGGAGTCTGTTTATACCTTTTGATATGGCTTTGGATACAGCTTTTAGCCATTCATGCTTTTTGCCTTAAGCTGTGATTCTCTTTTTCATTAGTTTTGTCATACTTGATTGTGAGTAAGCACATGTATGATTACTGACAATGTGCACGTGCTTCATTATTTTACCTGCTGCTATCATAGGTAACTACCAAATATGCAATTAACTTGGTTTATCTCATGGGGTGTGGAAGGCTGAATGTACTTTGGCCCTTGTTGCACAGTGGACTCTTCTAATCAATATGCTAATTTCCTTTCTTTTGAAGTTTTGTAAATTACTTCCCTCTGCTGAGCTGCTGCACTAAACTTGATGTCAGGCTAACTTCGTAATAGGCAAAGGGGACAAAGAGAGAGTAGTTCCAAAACCAGAGCTTTGTCAGGTTCGGCTTTGTGTCAGCAGAAGTCTTGGCTCACTGGCCCAGACCCTCCAACATGTGTATGTCTTTTATTATCTCAACTCGGTCATTCTCACTGCCACCTACTTTGACATAGGCTGTAAGTTCAATATCTACATGCCCAGGTCAGCATGCAGGCCTGGAGTGTAGTTGCTAAACACACATTCCCAGTAGGCACTAGTTAGGGAAGGAGGGGAGGAAAAAAGTTAAACCTGAGAGTCTTCACCCGTCAGCACAGAGCCTGTCTGCCACCTTGCTCACACCAGTGATTAACTCCTGTTCTTGGGCCGAGTTCCTATATTGCAGGACAGCACCTGCCTCCCCAAAGGATTGCAGCAACCTTCAGGTTTCTGTATGACAGACCAGTTGGACCCTGTGAAGAAGTTTGTCACACAGCAGTTGGCCTGTGTTGGGAATAAAGAGAAAACCACACATGCTCCCTTCTGCCATCTGCCTCATAGCAATTTATGCCCTTGTCTCAATTTTTTAGTCTAGTTAGATTTCCAGCTAGTTTTAGGCCTATCAGACTTGCCTTGTTCTTCATACAGCCTTTTGTCTGCATCCTCTGGCTACAATCACCTGTTCACTTGCCAGCCTAGTAATTAATTTCCTTAATTTCCTATTAAAGAAATGCTTAAAAATATTATTACTTCCCCCTTTCCAATCCTAGAACTACACCATCTCTCATCCATGACCTGCCATCACCTTCTAGTAGGTTCTCCATTGCTGTCCCCCTGGCAGGCACATTGTTTGAACTTGTTGCTGGTAAAACACAGTTTCTTGAGTTTGGAACAGTACAGGCTTTGCTTCCTTCCCATTCACCTGAGTATACCTCACATGGAATCCTTTTTTTTCTGTTCTTTTCTGTTAGCAACACAAGCTGCATTGTATTTGGAGAGGAATCCAAGAGGAATTGCCACCAGTGTTGAAAGCTCATCGCTGCTTCCCTGTTTTCTTGTACTTGCCGTTCTCTGCTCCGTGTTAAGTTTCCAGTTATAAAAATAAGCTTTGTTGCTTTTCTTTTCTTACTTATAGCACTTGAAGCTTCAGTGCATTTTTTATGTTTATATAAAACACGTTTCTGTCTCAACACCTTGCTCTATTAATGAATTTTTAACCTCCTAGAAGCTCCCTGTAAATGTGTTTCTTTGAAAGTGTTTCCAGTTGTGGAAAAGGTCCCTGAACGCAGCCATCCTGCCTCCCTCATGTGGGTTTTGGGTAAGTGCTTGGTAGTTGCAGTCATAATGTCAGACACCACCATTTAGATCCTGATTTTTATTATTTTAAAGAATGAGCACCATTCTGGGGAATCGTAACATTTTGTGTGTGTGTGCCATGGGGCTTACTGTTTTTTCACAAGGTATTAAAAAAATAAAGTTTGTGGCCTTTCTGGAATGGTTAAGGCTTCCTCCTTAGTAAGTAGTTTATAAGCCAAGAATGAGGCTTTTCTGCAGCATAGCCATCAACTGTGTATTGCTTGTTCCTAATTTGAAGATGGAGCTGTGGAGTCATTTTAACAACCACGAATCTCTGACAAATATAAGTCAAGGACTCTTGCTGATTAAAACCACCAGTCCAACAAACAGAAGTAGCATGCAAACTGCCTACAGGATGCAGTAGTTTACCCCTGTTCTGAGGGTCTGTGCACTCCAGGGAGAGACTGCAGGCCACACTGTAACCCAGAAAGCAGACCAGCTCAGGAGATGAGAAGGCTGATGCAGTTCTGAACATGGCACTCATCATAACTTCAGAGTGTGGAGAATTTTAGAAGAGCTCCAAGTGATAAAATCATAAGAACTTCAAGCCTTTTAACTGCTCACAGATACTAGATTTCTTGCATCCTACTTGTTAATAGCTGAAAAGAGATGCCAGTAGTGGAAAACTGCTCATGACCAGCATGGATATAAATGTCAGTCGGTCCAGTGAGTAAGAGCAGAGAATAAGATTTAAAAAAAAAAAAAAAAAAAAAAAAAAAAATTCCCTGTTTTTCTCACAAATTTATTGCAAGATTTTGGTGAACAGGTTAATTAGCTGTTAAATACCTTGGGGAAAAGGGGGCAGGAAAGCTACCCTAGCTACTGCTAGTTAACTATATGATGGCATTTCTAGGTTAAAATACATTTAAATGCTACTTTTTCTTCTTTTTTTCTCCTTAGGCATCTTGCTGTTATAATTAGGAGCTTACCTGATGCCTTCACATGTGATGTATTCTCTTGGAGCACAAACAGATTTTCTTCGCATGTAGAACTACAGAAGGAAGAGCAGGTGGCAGGGCTGGGTCTGCCCTGAAACCAACGTTTCAGTCCCAGTTCCCGTTGCCCTCTGATGCTACTTTTTCTTCTTTTTTTCTCCTTAGGCATCTTGCTGTTATAATTAGGAGCTTACCTGATGCCTTCACATGTGATGTATTCTCTTGGAGCACAAACAGATTTTCTTCGCATGTAGAACTACAGAAGGAAGAGCAGGTGGCAGGGCTGGGTCTGCCCTGAAACCAACGTTTCAGTCCCAGTTCCCGTTGCCCTCTGCAGCAGGCTGTCAGTGCAGCACCTGGCCTCCTGCCTGCCCTGCCTCTGAGCACACAAATCAGGAGGGATTCCCGGCACGTCCCTATTTAGAAACAGTTGGAGAGTGTTAAAAAATCTTGGTTGGCTTGTCCTCTTAAGATATTTGCAACCTAAGTATTGGTTTAGCCAAAATGACGACGATAAAAAATTACTATGTCTAAGCTACTTGAGGGATTGTTTTTTTGATAAATTGTACCTTTTATCTTTTAAGGAAGGAAAATACAACTCCCATGCTTCAGAAAAATGTGGAATGCTTCCTTAGTGTTGCTTCAGAAGCTGTTTTTCCTCCTGGAGCTTTTATCACTGCTTCTCCTTGTTCCAAGCTGTACTAATTTTGATAGAAGTTTAATTTATTATCACACTTGCTATGATTTTTATTAATGTAGTTTTGCCATTCAATACCTTCTCAAGTGTAGCTTCCCAAATGCTGCTGGGCATACATCAGATTGCATCCTGAGTAATACAATCGATCAATACAACTATTTCCCACCTGGTTAACTTTCTGTGGATACCCAAGCAACACTGCTTATTGCCCAGATAAGGTTTTGCCCTTCAGATTTTTTTAATTGATAATTTAAAACCCACACAAATTGGACTTCAGTATGTCAAATTTTTTAGTACCGTGTATATTTTAGAGCTGCACGATACATTCTGCATCTTGAACAAAGCTGTGTGCCCATGTCAAACAGCTGCAGCGAACCCTCCTTGGCTGTGTTATGTCTATGTCTCAAGGTACTGAAACACCAAGGCTCTATGCAAATGAGCTCCTTACAATGCAAAGCATGTGCTCTGCACATTGGTTGCAGTACTGAGCATCACCTTGAATGCCAGGTTGCAGATGGCAGAGACATTGAAGAAGTTCTCTGCGGCATGGTTGAAGTTCACAGCTGCTAGAATAATGGCACTAGTGAATAGCTCTAAATGAAGCAGTTAATTTGATCCCAAAGGAACTAAGTAGTTAAACAGAGCTAACTAAATAAAGCTAATACCATCACCTTATAAAAAAAGTACCTCAACAAAACAAAACCCTAATAAACTTAATCTTGTACTGGTTGGTAATACCTTTTTTCCCCCCACACCAACACCATATGACAGTTGAGAAAGCCTCATGAAGCATGTTCAGTGCATACATAACCCTTTGCAAATAGCTGTGTGCATTGCATAAGCACTGTGCAAGCTGTGGCTGGAGATTTGGCTCTTGGGTGGCTGCTGTTCAGTACCTTGGGAGTTGGAGTAGCACAAGGCTGCAGTTACCTGAGCCCTGCACAACTGCAGGGATGTTCCCATGCTCATCTGGTAGAAGGACCCGTGCTAAGGCAATGCAGAGGTAGGTTTCCAACCTTTTCTTTCTGAAGACTGGTTTTTACCTCCAGAAAGCTTCAGGAAGGTAGAGCTGATTTAATCAGCCATCTCCATCACATTGGGACCCCAACAGAACTCCAGAAGTTAAATATTCTGCCCCTTTTAAAAACCACCTTTCTTTGTGGCAGCCATCAGTTCGAAGTATTCTTCTTGCTCACATCCATCCACTCCTCTAAAAAAGCCCAACCAGAGTTTATGTTCCAAGATGAGTGTGTTTAAACTGCTCGGCTGTTCTTTCTTGACCTATTCTATAGTATGTCAGCAAAGCCCCAGCTCAAACCAAACATGATCATTAGACCATGCAGAGGTATCAGTGCACAGAAGGGAGAACTGAGTATTGCCTACAGCTTCATTCTAAGGTTGGCTTCTGATTTTACTGGTAAATCTGATATACCCTGCTGACTTTCAGGTCTGAAGCTGAAACCAGGACCATGATCAGCTTCAACTTCTGACTTAGAAGGTCAGATTCTAATCAAGGAAAATGAATACTCGCTTCCAGATTCAGCAGTGCGTAAGATCAAGCAAGCAGTTCATGTGATTTACACAGGCCTCTGTGCTTGAAGTTCAGAAGCACTCCAAGTATTTATTGGTTCAAGGCAGAAGTTTCCAACCAGCCTGGCAGATTCAGCTTTCTAAACTAACCTACAGCAGCCAAGTACACTCTTGTAACTGTTACCAAATCTCTCTGTGCTCAGTACTTTCCACTTAAACGTGATGTATTACATTCACAGAGAAGCTGAGAATCCATCACAGTGAAGAATAACATCAGAAAAATATTTAGGTTATTAGTCCTTTTTTAAAAATGCAAAATTTGAATAAACAGTATTTGTAAGCACAAAATATCAGCATTGATGTAAGTACATGGAGCTGTTGGAGCAAGGCCAGAGGAAGGCCATGAAGATGGTCAGAGGGCTGGAGCACCTCTGCTGCAAATGGCACAGAGAGTTGGGGCTGTTCAGCCTGGAAAAAAAACAACCCTTCATGGAGACCTTATAGCAGCCTTCTAGTACCTGAAGGGAACCTACAGGAAAGTTGGGGAGGAACATTTTACAAGGGCTTGTAGTGACAGGAAAGGGATAATGGATTAACACTGGAAGAGGGGAGATTTAGATTAGACATTAAGAGGAAATTCTTCACTGTGAGGTTGCCCATGGAAGTTATGGTTGTCCCATCCCTGGAAGTATTCAGGGCCAGGTTGGATGGGGCTTTGAGTGACGTGCTCTAGTGGGAGGTGGTCCTTCCCATGTGGGGGGGTTTGAACTAGATGATTTTTAAGGTCCCTCCCAACCCAAACTGTTCTGCGATTCTGTGGTTCCTAAATACTTTAAATCTACTAATGGCTCATATTTTACTCCATAAAATGTAGCAACTTCATGAGATACAGTAGCTTTGTGCATTACTACTATAAACATGAGCTTATTAATATAAACAAAGGATTACTTTACACTTCTAGCATGGTGTTTAGTGTTAAAAAGCATTGATGTTAGTTCAAGTCAAACCTTTAAAAAACAAAAAAGCACTGCAGATGTAATCAGGTACTCACAAAGCCTTTCTAGTTCCAGTGCCAGTAGCAGTTTGTGCTCACATTGTTATTATACACGTTTGTGACTGACTCAAACACAATACTTGAGACTGCCTGCATTTTAAGATGTTCTTTGAAGGTATTAGGACACACAATTATATGAAGCATTTTCTCCACACATCAGTTCCCCAAGGTTGTTTGCCCTGCACCAGTTGCTCCTGCAAAGCAGACTTCAGCCTGGGAAACACTTAAATTTCTTAATGTTCCATGGGAAAAGAAAAGAAACTGAATATTCACTTGTTATATCCAACTATAGTTGAATGTAACTAATATTCAAATATTAGTCCTCTGTGACAGCTATTCGCTATGATTCACACCTCATAAGCTTTCAGAAACCCTAGATGGTGAATACCACATCCTTTGGGTGATCAGTCACATTCACTGAGTAGTTGGATTGAACTGTTTGTCTTCACCAACAGGCAAAGCTGACTGCTGAATCTTATGTCTACACCTTTAACAGATCTCTTCAGGACTGCTGTTGTTCCTTTCCTCATCATTTGTACTACTGGCATGACAATACCATAGACATACAAAATCTATTTAGCATACAAAATTCTGAAAATTATAACCTGTATATACATCATGCTTATTAATTCATAAGCTATAACTTAGAAATTTTAGACTTTGTTACTTTTAAATAAGCTCATGTGACCAGGAACTTCCAAGAGATCAAAATTTAACATGTAACCTAATAACATGACAAGTACCATTACAAACATTAAATACATAAATTAGTCCTCATGTGACTAGTGTCTCAGATGAAGCTTATTAAATGTACAGATACCAGACTGCCTATTGGGGCAATGTTTTAATTCCTTTCTATTTCAGAGCACTGTATTCATCCTCGAATCAGTCTAAGAAGGCTCATCTACCTAGAAGGCTTTATTTTTAGTACCACTGCAGCCTGTGGAAACAGAATGGAAACCACAACAGAAGCAGGCCAGAAAAGATCGACCAGGCTGTTGTATCACTTGCAGTCTCCCCAGCTGAAGCTACCACAGCAGCATGGGGGAAAGAGGGCAGAATGCATCACTTCAGATCTTCATTTACTTCACTCAGAAGATTTGGTAAAAAAAAACAAACAAAGCCAAGATCCACAGTTGACATAGAAGAGTAGGGTTTTATCTTCAAAAGAAAATCTGTGACTGCACATCACTCTCAAGTTCTCAGGTACATTAAAAAAGGTGCACTAAGGCTTTTTGATAGCAATAGCACTTAAACATAGGAAAAGTTTTTTTAAAAAATATTTTATTAGAAAAAAAGGCAACAAAAGTTATTCAATAGACAACTGTACAAAACATATTTCTTCAGTCAATTTGTGAAAGTTACCATAACTTCTTTAGCTACCCACATCTGCAAAAAGATGTTTTTCTTAAATAAAGGACTTATGTACACAACAAATTAAGCTGCTCTTGCTTGGCAATTACTATATAATTTCCTTCACCAGGGATGCTTGAGACTGCACACGACTTACAGACCTGAACTGCAAACTGATCAGAAGAGTGCAGGTGGAAGGCCGTTGCCAAAAAGTAAGCGCCAAGAACTTGGTATTTTCCATTGTGAAGAAGTATCTGTGGAATTGTTGCTCTGCAACAAAAACAGAAGAATTCTTTCAGTTCTAAATAATAATGATGGAATTCTATCTCTGGCTCATCTATTAAAATAACAAGCAGCATTTCAAGTGTCCATATCATTGTGGCATTGTTTACAGAAGAGTACTGGAAGATTGAACTTAATTAAACATTTATGCAGTCTTCCCCTACACCTTTCATACAAAGGGACCAGGGTTTAGGTTTGTTTTTTCAGATGGGGAGATTCCCAGTGAGATTTTAATAAAAATTTATCTGTAATTTGGTGTATTCTTGATGACCAAGGGCCAATATGAACAAAACTCATACAGTTCTAACTTCTCTAAAATTCAACTGAGTAACATTTGTAATGTTCCGTCCTGAAGAAAAATGAAAATAACAGATACAAAATACAAAAGCAAAAACTCTAGATCAAACAGCACTTACTTCACATTTAATTAGCTGCAGCCACTCATTAAGATAGTTAACAAGGGTAAAGGCATCAGGGATGTTGTCCCCTTCTGAGCAGAATTTCAGGAGAACTGCCATGTGGATTCCTTTTGAGCAGCTGCAACAAAAATGAGCAGGCATTTCTATTTATTTTCTGAATCCAGAATAATTATATTTATGTACTAAGAACAACAACAATCTGCATATGGCTTGTTAAAAAAAACCCAAACACAACAAAAAACCAAAATCAAACAAAAAGTAAAAATGTCTGCATATATATATATGTTTTTTGTTTTTTTTTTCACTCTGCAGACTTGCCTGGTTGCATTACCACACTTCCATGTTCTTTTTCTTAGTCTTGAATTTGCTCTTTGCTTTGTGATTCAGGAATCCTGGGCCACGGAAGAGTAACTCAGGGCTCTTTTACATACTTAGTTTGCATTTTTGTGCATTAGTGTTCATTTTGATACGATCAGTCTTCATCTTTCTGTGTATTTCAAACAGCAGTTTTGCAGGCTGTGTAGTATTACTTTACTCATAATATTCTCATTTTTTTCATTTAAATATTAAGACTGGGGGGTTTTATAGATTTTTTTTTTCCCTAAAATCTTGGGAGTTCTTTTATTTTGCATTCGTATATTGTTTCTATAATGAAGTCAGTACAAAGGTGAGCATGATATTAGTAACCTTCCTACTGTTGGATGCAACAGCGTGGATAGCTGTCAAAAACAATACCAAAAAATAATAGTGAATTTTTCACCTGACACTTAGAAAACAAACACCTTTTGCAGAGCTAACACAGTTGCACCATAATGAGCATTATGATCCAAAATTTGAAATTCAGACATGCTTTTGGCACAACTTCTAATGTTGTTACCTTTCAACAAAAACCCACACCTAATTGTTCACTGGTCCTGAAATCTTAACTCACTTTAAGTGTTCAGAATTATTTTTTTTTTTACAACTCCTGATGGAACTATTTGTCATGGAAGACAGTTTTAATTAAAGTATCACAGGCACAGAAATTTTACTATTTACAAATTGTGGTTTGCATAAAATCAGATACTATATTAATCATAATCTGAACTGTAAAAGCTTTAATATTTTCCTTTAGCCCATTCACTTTATTTTTATCGGATTTTAAGTTTATGATGCAGTATTCCCCATTTTTTCCCTTTTAATTATGGGCTTGATCTGGAAGTTCTATTCCTACAAAAAACCCTTTATTATGAGAACAGGGAGTTTTCCTGTAACAGCAGTTTAAAAGAGTTTCACCCATGTGATGAAAACAAGACTTCTGACATCTTTCTGTGCTTATCTTCACGCAACTAACCTCTCAGTAAACAGTAGCTTTGTGATGCCACCTCCAGGAATATGTAGAACTTTTTCTGTGTCATTTATTCCAGGGTAAGCTGCTACTTTTTCCATTTCTTTCCAGTTCAGCTCCTGCATAAGGCCTCCAACTGCTTTCTCAAGATCAGGTGTAAGTAGGTAGCGTAGCGGTGTTCTAGGAACAAATGAAGAATACACACAGTCTGGCAATAAAAGACACTATCGTTAATGCATGTGACAGAAAGAAGCTGAAAGCATTGAGGACCTCACACCTCCAATGAAGAATTGCAAAGACATTCCCTTCCTCCTCAAATCAAAGCTAAAAAGTAGATTGTGGCTTCAAAACAGTACAAACTACTCAACTTTCTGCCACAAATAGAACTAAGGTAGAGGCTCAAATAACTGGCAAGTACCAGATACATAAGCACACATATAGTAGCACTGCTTATGGTTGTTAGAATGATTTATGAAAAAAATGTCCTTTTCCTTCCTTCAGATAGAAGGTTAGGGTAAACTTGGTCTTCACTGTGATACAGTATTTTTAACAAGCTCCTGCTTGTTTGACAGAAGCTCCTGCTACAAATATCTGCAGACTTCAGTCAAGCCTAAGTATTGTCTGAATGCATCACCCTCACTCTTCAGTGACTCTGCTATCAGAGTTATCCTGTGGGGCTGTTGGAGGCAAGGTGTTAAATAACCACAACTTATGACTCAGACCAGATTGAATAACCATCAGTCCCTCTCATTTCTTCCCATGTTAGTTGGCCGTTCTGCAACTGTACACAAATATCTCTGGTAACTATATCTGGGACATGCACAGACCTAAACCTCCTTTAAGGCCCTAAGCGTTTAGCAGCCTGAGGTTAACAAGCAGTCTTTTGCAAAAATACTGATTTTTGGTTTTGGTTACATCACCAATCATGATTTCCTCAATCAGAAAGTAATGCTTGTTTTTTAAAGGGCTAATATCTAATAAAAATACTTCAGTCTGAGCCTTGCAGTTGTCTTCCAACAAATAAGAATCTATAACTTCCTTTAAAACAAAAAGAACAACTTAATATATTAGAGAAAACCTTCAAAATGCAGAATAATGAATAAAAGGTAAAAAACTAAATTATACTCTAATTCACTGTTAAAAATCTAATCTGAGCTGTATGTTAGCAGCTAATCCCTGACATTGCTTGCAGTCACAGAAAATTAAGAAGTTAAAACTGAGGCTCTATGCCCAACAGTACAGGCCAAGTGCAATTTACTTATATCTTATTATAAGCTCAGTACTTTCATCACTAGTAACTACCAATGTTCAGAGGCTCATCCTGTATAATACCTAATATACTATTAAAAGATTTGATGACCAGTGTACACAGCAAAGCAAAAGATCCTGCCAGAAGTACTCAGCAGAGGGAAACACCTCAGTTTGTCAAAAGTAACAGAAACGTTAATTAGGTCTTTTAATGCAAACACACCCAAGAAGTTGCTCATCATCGCGCTGGTAGGCATGGCTGCTAGACAGAATGACGACTCTGGCACACTTGCTGCTTTCCACCCAAGACAGCAGCGTTTGACAGAAGGGCCTGTACTTATTCTTTAAGCAAAGACAGAGAAAAAAAGTGAAAATATATTGTGTCCTTAAAAAAAAAGCCAGAAGCCAACAATACTAGGTGTTAGATAGAAAATTAACCACTGAGATACATTTTTCCTCATTTCTATTTAGTCTCCAACTTCAAATAGATTTTTTTAAAAGCACTGGACTACCCTGGCTACCCTGGTTGCTTACTTAATCAAAACTACAGTGTAATGATAAAACTTATCACTAAGACCATGTTAACAACAGCAGTACTACCTGTTTTGTGTGTCATTAATACCAACATAAAAAGCTTGAGAGTAAGATGGGATGGTACGACGACACAGTATTTTTCCACATTTTGAACTGCTAAAAATGGCAGTATTCTGTTTTTTTTAAATTACAGCCACTGTCCAGTTAACTAGTCATTCTAAAGCCTTTGGTGTTTTACATTATAAAGCAGTTTAAATGAATATAGAACACTATGCAATAATTATATCGGAGTGACATAAAATATTAAGCTATTACAATAAAAGAGAAACACACAAAGACAGTAAAAGTTTACAGAAAAAAAAAAGAAACAGACAAAGCCCAGACCATTTTGTGTTTTCAAGACTGCTAATATCAAAGGACCACTTATACCAAAAACCACCACCATAGGTGGGTTTTTCTGAGGCTTTGAAAAACAAAACCTCAACTCTCAGGGAATGCAGAAGTCAGTTTTTGTTACCTGAAATTGTATCAACTGCAGAGCCTGTGTAGAAAAATATTTTGCTCTTTTTCAGTCTGTTTTTTTTTTTATGAAACAAAATATTTTACAATCATAGTTCTTCTAGTTTTGTTTATTTAGTGTTAAAATTTACCTAGTCCACTTAAAGTATTTGACAGAACTATTCAAACTGAATAGTGAAGCAAGAACAATCAGTGACTATACATACCTTTATAAAAGGTGATCTGATCTGCAGAACTACAAGTTTCTTTGAAGGTAAGGAATACACTACAAGAAGAAATAAAGTTTTGTAAGAGGCAACAAATAAAGATATATGGGTTTAGAAGTCTTGAGATTTATCCCATTTACGAAACTCAGGACAATAAACCTTTTAACTATCAATTCATATAGGCAAGTGTGACAATATCCATCGTGTTAAAAATAGGTATTTTTGTGCATTGTCTTAACCAGACTTAAAGTCACTTGTAATAAATTCAAAAGATTGAATGAAGAAAAATATATGGAGATATGCCTCAGATAATCTCTTCATGCAGCTTTGCAACGATTGACAGATTATTCGGAGATGTCCATTATTTAAGAGGAAAAAAAAAATAAATAGATGAAATGCAATGATAAACAGAGGGAAGGAAGAAGAGAGGATAAATATCCTTCTACACCAGACACTCGGTTCACATTCCAGTATAAGTATGTGCATGCTTCATGTTGCTTTGGATTAAAACCAGAGAGAGATTTGGCTGCACTCTCATACAGCTGAAAATCAACATTTCCTATTAGTTCCATATGTAAAATTTATTATCCAAAATATCAAGAGCAACAGTTTCCTCTGTGAAGGGTAAACACAGTCTTACCTGTATGTTACTGAAGTTATTACTGACATCAGTTTAAACTTTGTTCACACAGGCAAACAAAAGTAAATGTAACATAATACTTGCACCTTATGCACCATTCAGTACCCACCTTCAGCATTTATACTCAGCTCCATTGAGTTATCTTCTGCTGTTGCATATGGATTATTTCCAACCATTGGCACCAGGCAATCCGTGTAGAAGTAACCAACTTTAGTCATGTTGAGTGTGGAAATCACGAGGTCTATTGCTAGCTGACCAACATTTCCCACCGACACAGCTGGCTGAAGTAAGAGAAGTTAATGATTTACAGTGTGTATTATGGACAATAGAATACGCTCTTCAAACAGTTAAAGTTTAAATTGCTTCAATTCTGGACCAACGTTATTATTACAAGTGGCTGCTCATTCTCTGACAAAGGTAACTATTTCTTAACAGATTAGTAATGCAGACATCGATCTCTGTCCAACAAAAGTTCCTGGCCACTTCTGTAAAGTTAAACAATAGCTTGGAAACTTGTCTCCTCCTTTTTTCGGATAGAGAGTAAATTAAAGCCCCTCAAACGACCACTGCGGAGATTGGCGGGCCTCAAGTGACACCTAGTGGTCATGTCGACATTGCACATTAAACCTAGAAATCTCAGACTGACCCACATATGAGTCGATTGTTTTTCGTATTTTAAGGATGAAAATACTAAGCACTGTCTTGCAGTAATCTCACGGGAATTGCAATAGGTTATCGCCAACTGGGGCAGATACTGACTTAATTTGATGACACAGAAATTCAAGAGTGTGTGTCCTTCTACAGAAAACTACTACAGGAAGACAACGGTAAATTTTCAGTTGCTTCCTTCTAATATATAAGCAAGTCCCCGTCTACGAATTGCTGCTGCCACCACCTGTGGAAACATTGAATGTGATGCGGACAAGCCCGTGGCGAAAGAGGACGTAGCAGCACTCACAGATTGCCACGACAAGCCGGGTGGTATCCAACGGCCTGCTACTCCCAAAGGAAACAGCCGGGATCTGTTTCCTGTGTCTAGTCAGCTGACGTGCCATGACTTCCCGTGCAGAGTCATGCCCGGCTGCGCAGCCCTCGATGGGCAATAACACAGTAAAGGGAATCACCACACAGGAAAAATAATGGTTTGCTACTTAGCATCCTGCACCGGCACTTCTACCCCACAATAACCGATGTAACCTCAAGTAGGTTGCACACCATGTATGAAGGTTATTAAAACACTTCCTAAACCAGTCTTAATGGGAGTTTACATAGAGCACAAATGAGGAATTTTTCGTTACAAACATACACTGCATCTAAATGAAAAATTAACCTTTTATTCCAGTGCCACCCGACAGATACTACAAATTTTGTAAGACAACATACGGCACTTCAGCCTCAGAGTGAAAGCATATAGCTGTAGCTCAGTATACAACGTCTAGTTTGACAAGAGCAGAAAACGTGGGGCTGTGGAGGGAGAAACTGACAGAAGCGGAAGATGACGCCTGAAGCTCTGCAGGAAACAGCTCTGAGAAGGACCCCTGTAAAAAGTACCCAGGGACGAACCCCGCGCAGCAGTGAGAGAGAACAAAGCCTCCCGGCCTTCCTGCCCCACAGACGCGGGCAAAGCAGGCAGACAGGCCCGCACCCGCGCCCCACAACGCCCAGGCCCCGGCCCTCCCTCCCTGCCGCCCGGGCAAGGTTCCTTCAAGCCCACCGAGAGCGGGGCGGGAGCAGCAGCGCCACTCACCATGAGCAGAGTGAAGCCTTTAAAGTCGGAGCTGGGGGGGGCGC